GACTAAATGAAGATGTGCTTAGTCTTAATGTTCCTTCTATTATGTACTGTGATGCCTTTCTATGATGTAATTAAGTTAATGGATGAACCATCTACATCTGTTTAATCCTAAATGGATGCTTCAGTATTGAAAATCTGGCTGTTTCGGTTCTGCCTATGATTTTTTGCTGCTGCTGTTTCTGAACTGGCTAGTGTCTACTAGTTGCCCATGTGGAAGCTAATGAAATCTGATGTTTGTTTCACTGATGAAAGCTGGTGTTTATTTCACTGATGAAAGCTGGTGTTTCTGCTTCTGCCGTATAACATATTTAGCACTGATACACTTGCTAGCATGTATATTTGGGATTTAAACACAAGTACAAATCCAGGAACACAATATGTGAGCTTTGCATTCACTGATTAATAGATGCAATTTAACTGAAACAGCCAGATTTAATCACAAGTACAAATCCAGGCACACAACATGTGAGCTTTGCATTCAATACCGATGCAGTTTAACAACAAGCTGGGCAAAATACACCCTTAATCCATAAGAAAGTTTGCAAATATAAAATGCAGTACTTCTTGTGCAATACAGGTTTGGAACAAATCTGCAAATAACAAGAAGCTGGACAAAATCAACCCCTAATCCATAAGAATGATGGCTGGCGGCGCTGCTCTGTCCGGGATGGCTGGTGGCGACGGACAGAAAAGTGCTCAGGCGGCGGGCGACGGTGGTGGGCACCTGTGCTCAGCAGGCTGTGGTCGGGCGGTGGGCGGCTATGGTCGGGCGCCGGCCGACGGCGGTGGCAGGCTGTCGTCGAGCAGCGGCAGAACTAAAATCTCCCAGCCGGCATTGACGCCGGCGGCGGAACTAAATGGCGACACCGGCAGATGAGAAGGGGCTACGGCGGCGGAACTGCTGCGGCGGACGACGACTCGTGCTGGACTTGAAGGGATTATTGCGCCTGCTTTGGCGGTGCCGACCGAGTGGCCCAATGAGCGAGCCTCTTTTTTTCCGATCGTGCCCCTCCCAAATCAATGGCTAGATTTGATTTGGTACCTCATAGTACTAGTACCTCATTGTACCTCATGGTACCTTCTCAAGGATGGGAAAAGAGCTCTTCCAAATAACTGTTTGTCATCTTCTCTGGTGCATCATCTTCCCAAAATCGCGCCATCGTTCATCTTCTTGCTCTCGCTCACCACCACCGAAACCCTAGGGCTAGTATCCTCACTAGCTTGACCGCCAAAACTCGCTCAAATCACACTACCACACACTGCATCTGTTCTCCATTGAGCCCCCTCCTCACAACCCATCCAAAAACCCTAACTCAAGGCCCCCAATTTTCTCGCAATGGCGGAGGAGAGAGAAATCCCCTTGGAGCTATGGTCCACCTTGAATGTGGAAAAGAAGACCCTGTGGGAGATGGTGGAAGATGGCATGCTGCCAGCCAAAGAAATCATCGGGTGGCGACTGGCTTGCGGCAACGAATACCCAACTCGTAATATCGGCGAATTCTTGGTATTCACTCAATTTTTGTATTGTGGATTTGGGCTTTCGACTTCTGAATCCTCTAGGTGTTCGCTAGGATTTTATGGCATCAAGATCTATCATTTGAATTCCGATTTCATCCTTCAAATCGTTGCCATTGTGCATATTTGTCAGACTAGCTAGCTTTCCTAGGAATTATGCCTCATTTTGACCTCTTCCGCCACCTTTTCTTCCTTAAAGCCCATCTGTCAAAAATGACCCCTGTGAGGTAGGTGCCTCCGGGGTCACATTAGGAAGAAGTACTTTTCTCTTTCATTGAAATCCACTAACAAAGGTTAGCATTCGAATTGGTTCTATTGCTCCAACCCTGTCCCCGGTCTTCCCGATTTCATCGGCCTTCCTCCGGTACATAATACCATTTGGAGTTCACTTCCAAAAAAGCAACCAAGCTAGAGGACAAGGCTAAAGTAGAATCTGAGTTCGAAGGTAACCCGCATATTTCTCAACACTGCTTTCATCTGCTAGATCCTGATGTCTTTATATTTGAAATGTTAGCTCACAAGATGAAGACCCAAGCACAGTTTGAAGTATTTGCATCCCGGGTCAAAAGAGCTGAAGCTATTCGCAATGATATAGCCAATGCCGCTGCTCCGATACTCAATGCCATATTCCAAAACGGACTTGGCTCAAGCTTTGATGATGCTGTAGAACTCTTCGATAAGCTACAGTGTGCACTGGACAAGTACTACAAAAACATCGCTGAAGCAGCTACCAAGTGGGCGAGTCAAGCGTTGGCTATGACGAAGACCTTAAACCAGCTAAAATTCTGTAGTAATGGCCCAGGCTATTGATTTTATGCGATGGAGTCAAGAAAATAATATGGCTGTTCATTTACCATCAAACACGCCTGATTTATTTATAACCAATACCTATGAACCTTTTCACACCTATGAACCACATAAAGAGCTTGATCTTTAGTGGAACCTTTAAGTCTCATATATTTCACTTTTGGATCCAAACATTAGAGTTTATGATCGCGGTATACATAGATTTGACTGAAAATTGGCCATTCTTATGGATCGACCAAACAAAGCAATCCTTTTCATTTGACAGAGTTATATTAGCTTGCCTGAGGATCAAATCGTTCCACTCGATTAGCTTTTTGCTAACAATGGCGGTCCCGACCACGTGTCTTCCCAAAATCTTATGTCTATCCCATTGCCACATCTAAAATACCCAAACCTAAGAAATTGGTCTTTGACTTTCATTAAACCAACCCAGAACTGCGAAATACCTATCTTGTTAGACATACCAGAGAGAGGTTTACCGTTTAAGTATTTATTTCGCAAAAGGTCTAGCCACACACCTTTACCATAGAGCAACTGGAAGAGCCATTTGCTTAATAAGCAGCTATTTTTGATATCAAGGTTATGAACACTAGTCAACCTTGATCTTTTGGTTGGCATATGTTTTCCCACTTAGTCTATATTTTCTTTTCCGATCATCATTACTCAACAAAAAATGATGAGATTGGTTCTGTAATTGAAAATGTGATGATCCCAACTTTGTGATGGATCGGCTGCCAAACCATACCAACAACCATACCAACTAGTGTTGGATCGGCTGATCAACAAGGTGATATTGTTGTGAATCCTTGGTTAGTTTCTCTGGTTTCTTAGTCTTTTTCAATATTTTTTTAAGATTATAGGTATCGATTTTGTCTGTATAATCGACACGTATAAATCTTTATGTGTCGGTTCTAAAATCGGCACCTTTACAGACAAGCAAAGATGCCCCCAAATTGGTACCGGTTGAAAAACTAGCACCAATAAAGAGTTCCCAACCGACACCTATGGGGTGCTCTATAGTAATGTGCATTGTTCTATTCTCTATAGTAATGTGCATTGTTCTATTCTACCTTTATGCCCATGAATTCAGGACAATCGACGTAACCAAACACACTCACTCAGAAGTCACAAACATGTGCTCTAAGAAATTAAAATAATAAAACTGCTTAAGACGACTTTAGCATCAAAGCAAGAATACGTCTATTGCGTTTGTGCTTTGATAAATGCTGCGGTTCATATAAGACAAGATCATGTGATAGTTTTTTTTTTTTGTTAAGAACCATCAGATCATGTCTTTTTGAAAGATTAAAGTGGGTTCCACCAAAGTTAACAACTCCTAGAAATACTTGGCAACGGATCAGGATCATCCTAGTTGGCCATCTGCATAAGTAACCCTATGGATATTTCTTTAGCCCATCATCATTCGACCAAAATATCATTTTGGAGAAGCACATGATGTACTCATTTCTTTCAGATTTTTTTTACTATCAAGTAGTCAGATGATTGACTGTCCCATCTCTATGGCCTCTCCTGAGTTCCTGTTTAGGGGAGTTTTAGATTCTGAGAAGCAACTGTTTGGTAGCCAGCTTCTGTGAAGCTGGAGAAGCTAGCTTCTTAGTTCATTTTTCAAAATCATTCTCAGAAGCTGTAGATTGTTTGGGGCAGTTTCTAGCAGAAGCAGCTTTTGAAAAAAGCTGCAGCTGGGACAAGTTCCCCCAAACAGGCCTGAGTCCAGATTGCATCCTCCAGCATTGGTTCGCCTAACAATTCATCAGAGATAATTACTTTTCTGTCTTGTGATAAACTGTAATTATCTTCAGTAATCAGTACTCATTTCCATCGGTCAACCTATACTACTCAATAACATGTTAACATCTAATTTACGATTAAATTCCAGTTCCTTTTTGTAGTTGAGAAGGTATCACTTCTAGGGAGTACTTCCTCCGTTTCACAATGTAAAATTTTCTAGCATTACTCTCATTCATTTAGATGTTAATGAATTTAGACATATATATGTGTATAGATATATTAACATTTATATGTACATTAGAAAATCTAGAAAGCCTTACATTATGAAACCGAGGGAGTAGATTCCATTTCCAAACCCCAATCTTGATTTGTCATCTGGCCGGTTACCTTTAAGAAAAAAAAAGACCCCGATCGGATCGTAATACCTCTGAATTTCCAAAGTTTAACCACCAGGTCATCATAAAACGAACAGCAGAGAATTCGAATCTACATCTCTCCTACAGCACAGTTGCATGTGAATCCGATGAAGATTTACATACAAAATTGCAATTGGTACTAAGAAATAATTAGCCTAAAGCTAATAAACATTCAGACTTCGTAGGCTGTGGGTCTGTTTGGTTGCTGCCCTGAAGCAAATTCGCCTGAGCTGAAGCATGCCTGACATTTTCATTGGTCTGTTTGGTTCAAGTCCTGAGAAGGTGCTAGATACAGGCGTGGTTGCTCAGGCTCAGGCGCTTGAATTGGGTGGCCTGACTCAGGCAACCGAATTAAAGAAGGTAGATTAGGTGAGGTTGGAATATTCTAGTTGCATGGCGTCATTTCAGAATGTTTACTTGTACTAACCGGTTGAGATTGCAATATTTTATATTTTCTTGTTTGCTTTCACATGGTTTCATGCTCTCAGGCTCGTTTCCAGGGTACCAACCAAACAACAAACCCTCTTATATGCCTGATCAGGGAAAACATTTTATAGATTTTCTTCCACCCAGGCATGCTTTTTTCTCAGACTCATGACTCAGGGCACCAACCAAACAGGCGTTTTCTTCAGAGTTTCAGAGCAGAAGCAGAGACACCAACAAGAAGGCGATCAGCTCGTTCTTCTTCTCCCTCTCCTCCAGCGGCGGCCATGGCGAGATTAGGCCTTGCCGTCTGCGCCGCCTCCTTCCACCTCTTCCTTCTTCTTGCGTCGACCTCCTCGCTCCGGCGAGCTCCCACGGAGGCGGACACGGCCAACCATGCCAGAAGAACTGCCTATCACTTCCAGCCTGCAAAGAACTGGCAGAATGGTATCATCTCTTCTCCCCGAGTCGTTCTTGTGATTAATCGCTTTGATCCAGTTCCGGATTTAGCCAAACTAATCGCTTTTCCTGTCTGATCGGGGCCGAATTGCTGCTGATTCGGATGGATTGGATTTATGATGGCCGATGATGATGCCGATCGAGCAGATCCGAATGGTACGATCTCTTCCTGTTCCTCTTTCTTCTTATCTTTCCTCTGATTACTGGAGGTTTTGCATAATTGTTCTCTAATAGAATTGCAAAAACTATGTCCTTTCCTGGTTCCCTTATATGCCTCGATTAGCCGGGCATAAGCATCGATTTGGACATCAGAATAGGTTAAGCTTATCCATTTGGAGATGTGTGGTCAGCGATGCTAGGGTGGATTGACAAGTGTTCCTCAACCATTTGGCCATAACTGAAAAAGAAATATCATTCTGTTCAAACTCAGTAGATTTTAGTGACACCATGTCCATAACACTGCAGTTTTCTCTAATTTGTCTCGCCCGTAGTCACATTGTGCATTTTGATTTCCAATTCATGATTTGTTATCTCCTTTCAATAAATTATAAAAGGCAGCATATGCCACAGGATTGCTTGCTCACTGCTGCTAGCCTGCTACTACAATTTTACACAGTATATTTTCTTAGTCGGAAATTTTATGTACCAAAATTTCAGTAATTTCAACCCTCCAAAAGAACAGTTCCACTCAAATATTTTGGTATATTTCATATTTAGTTCAATGTCAGCAATATTTCAATTTTTTCACCTGATATTAGTAATTTTACCCCCTCCGATTTTTTTTTTCAATACGGCTGAAGTGTAGGCCTGTCTATAGTATACATGTTACCTTAAAAATGGATAAGTCCAGTTGATCGTTATGAACTATTCACTTTGTTTACCGTCACAACCCTATATTTTAGAACTAGGTGATTGGAACCCTTCAATTTTCAATACCATTCGCTTTATCCCCTCCTCTGGTCCAACATAGGATGGTTTTCACCAACATAGCATCAACATGACAGTCCAACCAACCAAAATTAATTTTAAAATAGGTGGAACCCGTATGTCACTTACAGTTCATCTATCTTCTTCCTCCACCTTTCCTCTTCCCCTCTGTACCTTCTCTCTCAGCGCATCCAGCTCGTATGCCTCCTTTGCACCCGCACCTCTTTACCAAAGTCACACATGCATGGAGCATGAGATGATTCACGGTAGTCGTGTATGAGGCGTGGATCTCACCGAAGCCATGAGCTTGGACTCGGTGATGTCTATGCATGAGATTCGGAATTGTGGCATAGCTCGAAGAGAGGGGATTTGGTGGGAGAGAGGATGAGAGAAGAAGGGAAAGCCACCACCGCCACAACTCCTTGACTCCCTGAGCCGCCGCCACTGCCTTTCACAAGCTCCAGAGCTGGACCTCTTCTTGCAAAGGGTGTCGATGGATTCTATGTGTGATAGACATGGCACTCTTCTTCTCGTGGAACTCTTGCTCCTCAGCTTGGTCCTCGTAGAACCAGTTCATTTCTAGCAATTGAGCTTTTAGGATCAAGATGTCGACTTGGGGTGGGGGGTTGAGTAGGTGATATTAAAAATAAAATAGTTGACACCTAATCAAAACTAAGCTAAGGTTGCTAGTTTTGGTGAAGGATGAAACTAACTAAGCAACTAGATTAAGTTTTGCAATTCTAGGCTGATAAGGGTTCAAGTAGTCTGTATGAGAGTAAATTGTATGTATGTAAATGATAAGTAAATGAGATAAGAGACAAGGAATTTTTCACCCAAGCTTTGGAAACTCACTGGTTTCCTAATCTCCACTAAGGCGAGCCCAACTTCACCGCTCAAACCACGAATCCTCTAAACCACTACGTCAAAGGATGGGCAAGGTGGGAGTCGGTCCCGAAGTAGCTATTGGAGGCAAAAACCCAACTTACCACAACCTAATGGTTATATCGCCAAGGGGAGGTCGGTCAGACTAGCCTCGATTGGACCACCGGTGTGACTGCCATAGCCGTCCGATTAGGCTGTCGGCGGCTCCAATAAGACCAAGCTGCCACCGGTTAGACTAGTCTCGGCTTTAGCAGTTTTGGATCGCCAAGAGAGGGCCACCCTACCGGCTCCATGGGCGCTCAGTCTGACCGAGTTCGACCCGATCAAATTGGCATGCACACCGCAGCCAGACCAGTCGGAGCCCTCGGTAAAACTGGCGCATAGGGCGTGGTAAGACCAGCATGTCCTCTTTGGTCAGACTGGCCATGGTTAGACAATAGAATATGATTTCAACCAAACCAAGTACCCTCATGCATCTGAATGAAAAGTTAGATTTATCACTTCATCCCAATGCTTTGTACCATCATTTTTATTCCATGGTAATAATCCATAACATGAACATAATGTGGTCCGTACTAAAATTATCAATGCACACAATGAGGTCCATACTAAAATTATCTCACTCCAATAAAATAGTTAATCCATAATTAACATTTATCATTAATTACCAAAATCAACATGGTGGTAATTGCACGATTTGAAAAATTAGAGTTATTGGATACTCACATTTAGAATTAGACCCTTTTTTTAAGGAATTGAATAATGGATTAATATGACATGCTCCCTGAGCTAGCGAACAGTACGTGTTTAAAAAAATCTTTCTGTATATGAATTTAAAAATATATTTTAAATTTATTTTCCAACTTTATAATAATCTCTCCATACAAAAACCTAAGACATATTATTTTTTTATCAAGTTCAAAGAAAAATTAAATCATCTTGTATGTAACAAATTAAGTATACATGTAACTGAATGACTGACCGGGTTCCGCTTAACAATTCTAACACTACAAAATGAACCTCTAGATATATGAAGACTACAAATACACCCATCTCATTTAGAGAAAAAGAAAATAAAATATGTTTAAAACTTTTGGATAAAGGGAGTAGTTAGTTCATATATTGTACTTTGAATAATGAACAAAAAAAACAGGCCCTTAGCCGATAAACTACTTATGGTACTTATCCCGAACTAATATGGTACTACTTCGGTCCCGCTATAAGTGTAATTGTAGATTCAAATTTTATCCTAAAATAGGTGCAATTCTACCATAATACCTACCACATCAATCATATCTCATTTAAGTTTCTCTCTATTTTACCATCAAGTACCCACTCACTCCCTACCATCTCCAATTTAATGGATGTATTTGGGTAATTTTCTCTCCGTCTTATTTTCACCTCTCATTGCATGTTAAAAATGTACTTACAGTTATTGATTCACACATGCAGGGCCTATGTACCATAACGGTATGTACCATTTGTTCTACCAGTACAACCCGCATAGCGCGCTCTGGGACATCGGCAACCTCTCCTGGGGCCACTCCGTCTCCGGCGACCTCCTCAACTGGGCCGCTCTCGACACCGCGCTCGACCCCACCTCGCCTTTCGACGCCAATGGCTGCTGGTCGGGCTCCGCCACCATCCTCCCCGGCGCCCTCCCGGCCATCCTCTACACCGGCATCGACGCCAGCAAGGAGCAGGTCCAGAACGTCGCCTTCGCCAAGAACCCCTCCGATCCGCTCCTCCGCGAGTGGGAGAAGCCCGCGTACAATCCGGTCATCGCGCTCCCGGCCGATGTCCCCGGCGACAAGTTCCGTGACCCCTCGACGGCATGGCTCGGCCGTGACGGCCTGTGGCGGATCGCCGTCTCCGCCGAGGTGGACGGCGTCGCGTCCACGCTCGTCTACAGGAGCAAGGACTTCGTCCGGTGGGAGCGGAACGCCGCGCCGCTGCACGCGTCGCGCGCCGCGGGCATGGTGGAGTGCCCGGACCTGTTCCCCGTAGCGGAGCGCGGCGAGGATGGCCTCGACACGTCGGCGAACGGCGCCGGCGGCGTGCGCCACGTCCTGAAGCTGAGCGTGATGGACACGCTCCAGGACTACTACATGGTCGGCACGTACGACGACGCGGCAGACGCCTTCTCGCCGGCGGAGCCTGAGCGCGGCGACGACTGCCGGAGCTGGCGGCGGCTGGACTACGGGCACGTGTACGCGTCCAAGTCGTTCTTCGACGTGCGCAAGAACCGGCGCGTTCTGTGGGCGTGGGCGAACGAGTCCGACAGCCAGGCCGACGACGTCGCCCGCGGCTGGTCCGGCGTGCAGACATTCCCGAGGAAGATGTGGCTAGCCAAGGACGGCAAGCAGCTGCTGCAGTGGCCGATCGAGGAGATCAAGACGCTGAGGAGGAAGCGCGCCGGTCTCTGGCAAGGCACCAGGCTAGGCGCCGGCGCGGTGCAGGAGATCGTCGGCGTGGCGAGCTCGCAGGCGGACGTGGAGGTGGTGTTCAAGATTCCGAGCCTGGAGGAGGCCGAGAGGGTGGACGACCCCAACCGGCTGCTGGATCCCCAGAAGCTGTGCGGTGAGAAGGGCGCCGCCGTGCGGGGCGGCGTCGGCCCGTTCGGGCTCCTCGTAATGGCCTCCGGCGACCTGCACGAGCACACCGCCGTCTTCTTCAGGGTGTTCAGGCACCATGACAAGTACAAGCTTCTTATGTGCACCGACTTGACAAAGTAAGAAGGCTAATAATTTTCCATTGTTCATCTCTACTAGTATTAGAACTGACAACATGTAATTTCAGGTCGTCGACAAGAGCAGGGGTGTACAAGCCGGCTTACGGCGGATTCGTGGACATGGACATCGACGATCACAAAACCATATCGCTGAGAACGTTGGTGAGTTCTTCGCAAACATTCAGAGCCACAGACTTACAGCTTCAATTGATTCATCGAACCTTGGTGTTTTTCTTTCTTTTTATTGGACAGATTGACCATTCGGTGGTGGAGAGCTTCGGCGGCGGCGGGCGGGCGTGCATCACGGCGCGGGTTTACCCGGAGCACGTGGCGACGAGCAGCAGCCATTTGTACGTGTTCAACAACGGGAGCGACGCCGTTAAGGTGGCCAAGCTGGAGGCGTGGGACCTGGCGACGGCGACCGTCAACGTTGTTGTTGGAGACCACCACGGCCTTGTTGCGCCGGCGTTGGAGTTGGAGCCGACACGCACGACGCAGTGATCTGAGGCCTGAAGCGGCTGGCCGGCACTGGCACAGTTGGTTCGATAGTTTGATGGCATCGTGCAGCCGATTGGTTGTGTGGTGATTTGTTCGATTGTTGTGAACAGGGTGTATGATCTGTGACAGAAAGAAGAGCACAAAAGAAATCATTCGATAGTATACGTCACGTGCTTTATATGTTTTGCTCTTTTGTTATAGTACGTATTCCCTGCGTTTCATCTATAAATTGTTCGGCTTTTCTCTTAGTTCATTTCTTTAAGTTTGATTAAATTTGTAGAAAAATATAGTAATATTTTTAATACAAAATAAATATATTTAATTTTAAATTTAATGAAAATAATTTGGTGTTATAATTGTTGCTAATTTTTTATATAAATTTGATCAAACCTACAGACTTTTGACTATAAAAAAGTCAAACGACTTATTCATTTGCCAGAATACATTCTGAACATGTCTCCGATAAAAAATGGTAAGAACTAGTTTGGTATGCTCCGATGCTTTTTTTTTGTTTGTTTATGTATAATTACTTATATGGGAGTATTATTATTTGTAGAAACTATATTGATGAACTCTAGAACACTTTAAAAAATGAAGATGAAATTCAGACCACTTTAAAAAAATGATTATGATCAATTGTTGGTGGAAGAGGAAAAAGAGAAAGATTTTTTATGCATAACATATGCCCTGATCTTATTCAACTCTTATGTGTCCAACAATAAGTGTGTCAGCATGAAAGTGAATTTGGATTGGAATGGTGTAACCTTTATTCCATATTTGTATTTTTCTTTGGACTTTTAGCTGAATGTTAGTTGAATTAGACTTATTGTAAAGCACATGTAAAGCTGGCACATCTGTTAAAAAGATATTTGGTTAATTCAACTGACATGAAAAGTTATTTTTTTAAAAAAGAAAATGTACTCCTGCTTCTGATGATATTCTGTAATGAGTATATTCTTGCGGTTGCAGTATACTAGATTAAATTTATATTACTTAATAATGTGCGTTGTACGTGCACTTACTAGTACACTTACAAAAGAGCGAACCTGTTTGATTACACCCAGTCGATGCATACAAATACTCGAACTAACACAATCAATCAAATCATCAAATCGTTCCTTTACTTACTTTCAGTCATATTTTCTAGTTTACCATATACCTAATAACTAGTTCATCCATCTTTATCAATTTGGTTGTAAATCGTCCATCTTTTTTGCAAGAGCATGATATCCTTTGTAGTTTTGTTCCATGAACCTTCCAATTCGCTTACGAGAAAGTTGGTTATCTACAAACCAGTCTAAATCGGGCTAGACGTCAGTTTGATCTCTAAATCGTCTCTGCTTGTCGGTTCTAATCTTTTCTAAGCCCATCTTAGGTTGCGTTCGGAATCCCCTCTTCCCAACATGCACAATACTTACGGAAAACAGAGCAATCCATTAGCACGTGATTAATCAAGTATTAGCTAATTTTTTTCGAAAATGGATCAATATGATTTTTTTAAGCAACTTTCATTTTTACAGAAAACACAACGTTTAGCATTTTGAAAAGCGTACGCGCAGAATACGATGGGGATGCACTACTAGGAAATCGGGCTTATGCAACGGCAAGAATTTGTTGCAATATGCCCAAAACCGTTGCAATAGGTACAATTGCAATGGATTTTTGTCGTTAGGGCTCATGGCGCAAAAGTCCGTAGCAATATGGTTTTTACCACTGGATCACTTTGTCGTTGTAAATAAAAACTCCTGTTGCAACTGAATGAACCGTGGCAATTAACAGATAAGGCAACGGTTGGTTGGTGGTAATACAACATATTGCAACACCAGATGTCGTTGTCGTAGGAACTAGTCGCATCGCACCAAAGCGTGGTAATAAGTGCTAATGTGTATTGCCACAGACCTCAAACGTGGTAATAGGTCGACCTTTATTGCCATGCTCACAGTTTGGTTGTTATAGATAGATCCCACTATTGCCACGCTACACATGTCTCTTTGCTATAAGCAGGCCCCACCTATCAGTGACTAAGGTCGACGAGCGCATAGTGGACTAGGTCCTCGCATGCACCGGCCGTGGGCGCACCATGTGGCAGCCACATGGCGGCCACGGTGGACCAGCGTGGGAGGTGGCAAAATCCGAGACCTGGCGAAATTCGACCTGAACTCGGACTCAGCGGTCTGACTGGCCACGAGCCTCTGGTTAGACCGGTCCCACGAAGAAAACCAGGTTCTTTTCAAGCTTTGGCAATGTGTTCATATTTCGAGTCTAGATGTCAAATTTTAGTGGTAACACTAGTCTTCCACGTAAATCATATAACTATGTAAAAGTTGATGGGAACATATGTTGTGTACACAGCTTCGTGTACACATCCTACACACCAACTAACACATATGACCGAAAACTTCTGACGAAATTTTGTTTTTCTCCTTGGTCTATGTATGATGATTTTGTAAGATATGACTTTATGCGTAGATGTAATACTACTATATGTACTAATTTTTTAAGTTTTTTTTGGTATTTATTAGTTGGTGTGTAAGTGAAGACTTGTATGCGTAGAATATGTTGTCCATGTGGAAACCAAATAAAAATGAAATAGTTTTGCATGATAGAAATGTCGAAATTACGAAATGGCCGATAAATTAAAATGAAAAGCATCCAAAAGTTGAACTCGAAGAGGGGAAAAATTAGGGTACTCCCATGTACGGTCAATATTCTTTCGGTGAAAAATGATGTATCCATCGACAACGAGTCACCCGCGATGACTTTGTTACTCTAAAGATATGTCAACCTAGTGTTTCACTACGTGCTCACAAGGATAGGACGTGTATATGCACAGCTTGAATTTGCGCGTGTTATAAGCGTATATGTTTCTTACTGTTCAAGAAAAATCATACAAATTAAAGCAATACACCTTATGTGTTGTGCATATCTATCTATCTATCTATCTATCTATCTATTATCTATCTATCTATCTATCTATCTATCTATCTATCTATCTATCTATCTATTATATACTAAAAGTCCATTAATCTTTCTATAAACGCTCCTAAACCGCCATGTGGCGTCCCTACGAACGCTCCTAAGTCGCCACATGGCATTTTATAATCTCACCGTTGATTTTCATTTAAATTAAAGGGCCCATAATTTTAGACCGGTAAATTAGATCTATTTGCTTCCTGTTAATATCCCGTGCTTATGGTTAAAACTAGCGTGCCTACTTATGATGGAAAAAGCTACGGAACTGTTCATTTAAAAAATCAAGAACCGTACGTAAGTACGAGAAGAAAAACTATAAAAAAACCTACTAAAAAAATAAAAACATGCTTACGTATGTAAAAGAACTATAACGCACTTAAAATTTATATGTATGCACATCAGAAGAAAAAATTAGACCATCTTTTTAAAATAAGATTTTCTATACTATAAAAACACGCAATATGTTAGACCATTAGATTAGCCCGCTTTCTCTTAATAAATACTCCCTCTGTTTCACAATGTAAAATTTTCTAGCATTGCCCCCATTCATATAGATGCTAATGAATCTAGACACATATATGTTTAGATTCATTAATATCTATATGAATATGGGTAATGCTGGAAAGTCTTATATTGTGAAACGGAGGAACTATAACAAAATTCGATAACCCGGATTATGTTATTGAATTATTGCATCAAGGACCATAATTTATAATAATTTAATAATATTAGATAATTTAATAATTTTGTTTTATATTAATTGTTGAATACTAAAAGTCCATATGAACTTTCTTAAAACGCTCTCACACTGCCACATGCCAATCCATAAAACGCTCTCAAGCTACCACGTGACGCTAATAAAATCCATCCCTCAATTTTTACTTAATTCAGTGGGTCCAATATTTTTAGCCGTCCAACTTAATTGAGATTAAAATAACCTAGCGCCGCCGGAACCGCGGCTAAGGGCCGGACGGAGGGAAACTTCCCTAGGGAGTCACCGTAGTCATCCTGCTCTTGCTCGTATGTCCCGCCATGGCTGATGATTAAGGGGGTGTTTAGATTTAGGGGTGTAAAGTTTTGGCGTGTCATATCGGGTATTATATAGGGTGTCGCATGGGGTGTTTGGGCACTAATAAAAAAACTAATTACAAAATTCGTTAGTAAACCGCGAGACGAATTTATAAGTCTAATTATTCCGTCATTAGCAAATGTTTACTGTAGCATCACATTGTCAAATCATGGAGCAATTAGGCTTAAAATATTCGTCTCGCAAATTAGTCGCAATATGTGCAATTAGTTATTTTTTTTGGCCGATATTTATTATTTCATTCAGGTGTTCAAACATCTGATGTGAACATGGTGTAAAGTTTTGGCATAGAATCTAAACATGGCCTAATTCAATTTTGGCTTTTCAATTTTGTTATTCACATGTACGTAATGTACGTACTACTCTGTCCCAGAAAAAGATAAACTCTAGCTACGAATCTGGACAAAACACCTTACTTTTACTTTTGTTGACATGTTTTCTGAAGAAAATAAGTCTACCATATTTTCAAATGATGAAGAATATTACAAATAATTGCTTATAAATATTATTTAAATATGATATAATATAAAGCTAATGGGTTTGGAGAATTATAAAAGCAATTAATGCCGATGAAAAAAAATTATGAAGAAATCGTGGCATAACACAAATATGATATACTATAAAGCTAATACGTTAGAGAATTATAAAAGCAATTAAGGCCGATGAAAAAAAAATATAGAGAAATCGTGGCAAATGTTTGCTTCTATAAGTGTCTCAAACTTAGCGTACGACACAAGCCCACGCGAATGCGTGGGCTATCTTCAGACTCAATCACGCACGAACCGTACGGACATACGAGCGATGCAACAAACACATACATATGTTGAAAAAGATCCGATCCAGGTAACACATATGTATTAATTTCTCATATATAACTATATGTATATATGAGATGGTAACACATATGTATGTTTGGTAGATCATTTGGTGGCCAGCTTGAAGGAGCTGAGTTGGTAGGTGGTCGCCCCGACCAAGTCAGCCACAACGGCCACGTACAACTCCCTCGTCTTTTTGCGAGAGCTAGCAGCATCGATGACAACCAGATAGTTGGACCCCTGCACCACCTGCTCCTCGGCTGCGACCACGCGGACGAACTGCAGCCTGTCATTGGTCCCCAGCTGGTTGTGCTTCCCCACCGCCCACGCGCCGACCCGCTGAATCTGATTGTTGCCGGCAACGTCCTCGATCACGTTCCACCCGCCGACCCACTGCGCGCGGCTGGTGGTGGCAACGGCAGCAACGGCTGCGAGGAGGATGAGCAGGAGCCCGGGGTGTCTCGCCATGTCGATTCGAGAACGATTTGGGACTTGGGAGCAGCTGATCAGCAGGCTAGGGTGCAGTGGAGACAGCTGGGTCTTGGAAGAACACTTGTGCTAGATGAGCCATTTATATAGGGCTAGTTAGCATATATTAATTCTAATTTATGGGACATATCGAATTTTTTTTACAGTTCGTTTGATGACATGGTCAAATACTATCAGTTCCAAACTCGACATTTTGTACAACACTTGGTTGTAGTTGAAAGCTACGGATCACGTTGGGGACATTCAACAACTAGTAGGATCTATATATACCTTTGGCAATTAACACGACATGTATGGTTGTGGTTTAAATACTACTCTCTCCGTTTTATATTATAAGTTCGTTTTTAGTTAAACTTTTTTAAGTTTGAACAGGTTTATAGAAAAAATATAATAACATTTTTAATATAAAATAAGCATATAATCAAAATATGTTAAAATTTAGTTTTAATGAAACTAATTTGGCGTTAAAACTTAAAAAAGTTTCAGTAAGAAAAAAAATCAATGTGGATTGCAATATGAAACGAAGTGAGTATAACTTTGCATAGCTCAGCAGCTTAGTTTCCTTATAGTAGAACCAGATTAAATTCCTAAATTTGATATGAGTGCTCTCACATACGGCTAATTATTTTTCTAGTGGTCAACATTGTCTTCTAGGTGATCCCAACATATACTGGCCAGCCACTCGGAGGCACTCAACAAAGGGATTGAGAGTCTCTTCGAGACGTCATGTGTGTGTGCATCCATAGTGGTGGGTGTGATTCTTTTTTATGGCATGTGGTGATATGGCTTCAACTTTCTCTGTGGTTTAATATCATTCCGTCTAAAGAGAATAGGGATGGAGATTGTCTATTCACGATAAACCCGTCACCTGCCTCTAAGCACGACCCCCCATGGGTTGTGCTCATGACGCATCTCCATCGAGCCCTTCAGCACAGCCCCCTACGGGCTGTACTCGGTGCACATCTTCAGCGAGCCCCTGTGGCATGACCCTCCATGGACGGTGTTTGGGGCATATATATAGTAAGCCCCGAAGCATGGTTTCCATCGGTTGTGCTTAGGGTTCATCGTCGGCGAATCCCCAAGTCAGGCCCTTCTATGGGCTGTGCTCGGGGCACATCTTAAGCAAGTCCCCAAGTCCCCCCTCCCCCCCTCTTGTGAACTATGCTCGAGGTACATCCTCAGCCAGTCCCCAAGCCACTGCCTCCTGTGCTTGGGGCTACACTCGAACCCAAAGTGCTCGAGGAGCAACAACGCATGGACCCCATTAAGCCTCACATTCGGTGTGAAACTACGTATACCAACCCAACATATAATCAATACAACATGCGATAACATAGTGCATGCTGACCATGCAATAGGCCCAATGGATACCCCTTTTGTCCGTGTCTTCTAGTCCAAAGGCACGTGTCGAAGCAATGAGCAAGGAGGCAGAAAGGAGCTACTCCACGTCCCTCTAGCTCCTCTATGATAAGACAGTCATACCTAACCCCTATATTGGGGTCTATCTATAAAAAACAAGCCACTGTTGCATCCGCTTGTAGCTATAAAAGGAGGACCAGGACCATAGAAAAAAAAGGTTATGATTTTCCTGTTTCATTCATCTAATTTAGATTAGAATCCTAGTTGCAACTCAGTGAAAATTAGTACATCCTCTCCCACTCAGAACAACTCCAAAAACCACACTGTACACATCCTCTCAGCTAGCGAGAACACAGGAGTAGGGTACCATGCCTCTTAGCGGCCCGAACCTGTTTAAATCTCTCTCACACTTTTATCTCTCCCTTTTTTACTTCGACTTCATGCTAAATCATTGGCTCCGTTTTGCACACCCGTCGTAGCCGAATCCCAAAGGTGGTGTCACTCCTCCCCAGTATAAGAGCTTCATTTCTCCGATAGAGGTTTTCGATTTTTCAACCATCGAGCATGCTTTAAGAGTCATGCTAGCAGGGGCGAGGAATTAAACTCAAGACCGGGGTTTGGGTGCATGAAAGATAGACGCACTAGCTGCTGCATCCGCCTTCGTTTTTTTGTCATATATATACAAGCTTGCATATAGAAGTTACATCGTACAGTGCAGGATCAGTATTGCGACAATTTAATTATACTATAATTATTAAAACTATATTATACTTATGTTTAGTTATGTTTGAAATTTATTTGAAGGATTTTATTTGCATGTTTTTATTTATGGCTCTATCGGCCAAGTTTGAAAATATATACTAACATGTCGCTGCCCGAAATCATTTGAAACACTGAAAAAATCTTTTCATAATAGATCTCAAAATTTGAAACGCATATTATATTATGTAGACGATGCCAAATACTCCATCCATTTCATATTTCATATTATAAGTCGGTTGACTTTTTTTGCTAGCCAAAATTTATTAAATTTGACCAAGTTTACAGAAAAATTTAGTAACATCTAAAATATCAAATTAGTTTCATTATATTTAACATTGAATATATTCTAATAATCTGTTTGTTTTATGTTAAAAATATTACTATATTTTTTTATAAATTTGGTCAAACTTAAAAAAGTTTGACTAGAAAAAAATTCGAACGATTTATAATATGGAACGGATGGAGTAAAAAGGTTATCCACTTTTAAGTTATAGATTTGGTTGACGTCTACAACTTTTTTATTTAGAGAATGTCTCAATATGAGGTTATTTGGAAAATTCAAAAAATCATTTTTCAGAAAATGATTTAAGAACTTGCAATGCATATTTAGAGATGTAAACAATCTCAAACAAATAAATTGTCAAAATTTTACAGATTGTGGCGAGAAATATGAGTTTGATATAGAGCACGTCTTTATTCGACTTCATCTAAGACACCTACAAACCAACTTGTTTTCTCCCATATTACAGACGTGTTTTCTCACTGGTGAAGTGTGTTGATTGGCTAGCAAAGGTCCAGCCTTGACCTAGCAAGTTATCACATTTTGCGTCGGCTTTCGACACGTCTATGATGTGATTTTAGAAACACGGTTGTGTCCAGGATGCTTTCACATCTGTATCCATTATCTAAAAAATGACTTATATCCCTGGCTAAGTGTTTACATTTAGAAGTATACATGAGTGAACTGGAAAACACTTTTGGCAAATAAATTAATTGAATGCTATGGTTGGAGCCCCCCTTGCATATGAATCGATCTCACCCTAGTCAGAAACAGAGGCAAGACGGTTGCAGATTTGCGGTAAACTAAAACACAACACTTGAAACTACGCTGAGTCTGACCAATTCGTCCCTTGCCTATGCCGCTGTGCAAAGCCAACAATCCAGACAAGTATCCGGATTCTAAATCCACTAGCCAATAACTTCACGGTCAAATACTTTGACTCAGCAACTAAATCACCGCTGCTAGTTTATGTTCTCTTCTTCACGGTCAAATATTTTTATTAGGTACGGTCAAATACTTTGCCTGATTAATCCGTTTCAAGACATAGATTCCCTTTGCTTACTGACCGTGAATAGGGATGTAAGTGGGTCAACCCACATGTCCATTTATGGTCAAATACATGATAACTCATGGATTTTCGTGTCGTGGCCCGGCTGACGGTATCTAGAGATGCAAGTGGGTCGACCTATAAACTTATTTATAGCTCAAATTAAGAGGTAACCCGTGAGTCAAACCTGTAGGTTACCCACTAATTTTATCTATAAGTCGGTTCGCGGATCAGCCCGCTTATACCCTGGTCCATGAAAGATGCAGTACAGTTTGCACATTGCACACAGTTGGCACAAGGAACAAATGTGTTGTGGCCAACTAATCCAACCAAGAAGTCCAAGCGGACACAGGAAGGATGGTATGATCAATCTGTCCAAATAACAGCGCGCTGGACTAAGATTATTTTTTTTGGAAAATAATGTAGGGGAGTATCTTGCACTGTATGTATTAAAAATTAATTATAAAAATTACATATGTACATTCATGAGTTGAGGTTTTGTAGCCATTGTGAAATAAGTGGAAAGTAACTAGCTTTTGCTCTATGGATAGCCAAGAAAAGTTATGCTTTAAGCTTGTCTTTACTAGTGGAGTAGCCAGAAATTTCTTTTTTCTGGGTAGTCCTACTTCGAGCTATATCCATGGCATCAGGGACTCCGGTCAGTTGTTCGGGCTAATGGGGTGTGTGCAAATGAAATTTGAATGTTTTTCAGTGAATTAGAAATAATATTTATAGCAAACACTTGATACAACTAGAAAGGTAGCCCGCGCTGATGCGCGGGCATCTTATTTAGTGGTGTTTAAAATTTTGTTATGAATGTTTATGTATATATGATTTTTTTTAAAAAAATTTCTCTTCTAAATATGTGTATATCAATAATTTGTTTGGGAATGTTTTGAAAGTTAGTTTCGATCATTGGACGTACGGACGTGTGCTAAAAGGGACATGTTTCTCGACATTTGTCTATACGCATGTTGGACCGATGGGGATGTCAGGTCTTTTAAGGGGGTGTCTGTGACATTTGTCTATACACATGTTGGACCAACGGGGACGTTAGGTCCTTTGAGGGGTGTCTGTGACATCCTAATTCGATTAGGATATGGCTTATGTTTTATTGAATGAATGTGATATGTGTTGTTTATAAGCGTTGTGTGCACTTCAGTAGTACCATCTTGCTAGTTAAGCAAGAGTGCAACCAACTTGTAAGGCACTGCCCTTCTAACCATATCATTTTCGTGTTGAATATTTTACATGAAGCGAGGACGAAAGTGTAAGTGTGGGTGATATTTGTAAGTGGGCGTGCCAGTTGAATGGGCTGGGATGTGTTGTTCTGAAGAACGGGTTGTTACAAATTGTAAACTAAAATTACTTGAATCATGTCGTCTTAAATTTATAAGAAAAAAATGTCGCGACAATGGATCCGGTTCATATGAAACTATCATTTATACTACATGTGTTTCTTTTTAAAAAAAAATTAGCATCTTAATTTAAACTTTTAAGTAATATTTTTTCTTGTATACTAAAGATGTATTAATAATTTTTAGGATATATTAAGTTAAGAAATTTCATATTAAAAAATATGGTAATATGACTTCTTTATCTAATTA